CCTGCAGCCTCGACCAGCTGGGCTCCGGCGATCCTTCCGCCTCAGCCTTCCAAGGAGCTGAAACTACAGGCGCGCACTAACACACCCGGCTAATTTTTTGATTTATTATAGACATGAGGTCTCACCAAGTTGCACTGGGGATCACAAACCCGCGGGCTCAGGCAATCCACTCACCTTGGCCTCCCAAAGCGCGGGATTACAGGCTGAGCCACCGAGCCCAGCTTGCTTACATTTTTAAATAAAATATTATTCTGTAGAAATTTTTATGAAGGTAATAAGAAGAAAGGAGTGCCTTCCAAAGAGAGTAAGATTTTTTTGAAAAATGAGAATTTGAGTAAGAGAAACAATATTTTTCATATCAAACATGCAACACTAAAAATACAATCATGACTCCACACTGACTCCATATAGATTCCTCCTTCTAGGGCATTCTAAAAGAGTCTTTTTATAGATATAACATAATCTTGACATTTGCCAAGTAAATAAATGAAATATCATGTAATTCAAACTTTGAGTTCAAGTAACAGCAGGTTGATAACTATAATCAGTGTGCATTCTATAACCAAATCACACATATTTACAGCCAGATTGACTATTAATATTTATTAAAAATAATTCAGTGCAGGTCCAGTTGCTTAGCAACGCAAAATATACATATGCTGAAATGTGAATATAAACATTTAAAAATATTTTTACTTTACAAATAATAAATAAGAGCAACATACATGTCAACTCTAGTCTCAAATACAATAAATATATATTCTTTAAAACTTTCAGAAAAGGAGAACATATGCATAAGACATATTTTCTGTTTAGAAAAATATTTTGATTGAAACATTTCTAAAAGGTTACATAGTTCTTGTTTTCAAACTATGAATAGAACATTAGTTCTTTGTGGTATGGTGGATCCTTTAAAAATAATAATAAAAGAACTGTATATTAAAATAATTGTGAGAAATTCTTCCATCCAGATATTAACCAGACCCAACCCTGCTTAACTTCTGAAAGATCAGTGTGTTCAGGGTGGTATGACTGTAGACAATTGTGGGAAATTCTAAATTTACATGCTTAAAGGTTTTGCAGATAGATTATTGAAGAAATGTGCTTTGATAATTGGCTATAAATATACTTTTTAAAATAACAGAATGCCTACTTATGTATAATTTTAAAGAGGATGATCATTGACTTTCTATGTAACAGATGCCTCCATTTTATTATATTATAAAATAAAAATTTACATGATTGTGGTTCATTACAAAAATATCCACAAAAGTCATTGATCTTAACAATTAGGATTAAACTGATTATACCACATTGTTTTGTTTCATTAAGACATATCTTTATCTAATTTCTTCATTGAACTAACTTGTTCAGTATCTGCCTAGCTGTACAAACTTTCAGTGATTAATTTTAAAAAGTAAACTTTGTATGCATAGAGAAATTATATGGAAATCACCATTCATTGTGGTCAGCATCACAATTGCAGTAATATTGGGCATCAATGCAGTTGCCCTCTAATCCACAAGCACATTTTTGAGGATCAGGTGAAGAACCTCCCCAATAAGTTTGTGTTTCATTGGTTCGTCCAACCCACCAGCTCAGAGGGCTTCCATCTGGAAGAAAAAGATGAGAAATGTGACATCTGCTTTATATTCCACTGCCTTCTATTCTGATATAACTCCCTTTCTTCCAAAATAATTAAAAATAATAGAAGGAGAAAGAGAGAAAGAATGATTTGATGTAAGTTTATGTGTTTGATGGCACTTCCTCAAGAAAGCTTTTTTTAAAAAAAATTTTTTTTATTTAGGCTTAAATGACTGATACATTTGTCTTTGAGTAGAAAAGGAACAAGAAATTCTCATTTAATTTAAGCATTATAGTAAAAAAAAGTATTGAGAGCAGTTCACATACGCAATTTTTTGAAAAGTAATTTTGAAACAAGTTAGCATCAAAATAAAAATCACAGTAGTTAACATACCAAAGCAAAAATTGACTTGAAATCATCAAATGTCCATTATACTACTATCAAATTTTATGTAAAGTCCCTGATTTATCACAATTCTTTATTGTCTAAAAATATACTAGCTGTTTATTAAACATTAAGTGTGAAATGGCATGCCTGTGTCATGATTTAAGATTTATTTGGAAGTATATATTCTCTCTTCCATTAAATGGCTTGGCTATTTATTTGGAAACTACTGAAATAACAGTGAAAAATCTTCATGCCTGAAGCGAATATTACACTCAAAAAAAGTTGCCCTTAGCCAAATGCATCTCTTTCTAGGATAAATGTTCAGCTACTGGCTCTTTCTCACCATTAAGACTAAACATGATGCCAAGGAACTAGAGCAAAGAATAGATAGAACATATTGGTGAGGGTTTTCAGAAAAGGAGGTGAGGCATGTAGGCAATCTATCTTGGAAAAAGAAAAGGTACAGAGAAAAAATTGTAGTCATTCGAGAATCAGGGCATGAGAAGAATGTAAGCAACATCCAATCAGTCAGCTCCTCAAAGGTGCTTGATCATTTTTCTGTTGACTTTCAAGCCTTTAAGTTGTCACCACAGTCCCACTAGGAATCTGGGATTTTTTGTTAATTTCCATCTTGCTTAAAAATGCTAATGCTCATTTAACTTACTATTAGATAGCCTCTCTCCTAATGCTGACAACCTCTCCCCCAGGTTTACTAAACCTGCCAATCCAGCTGTATCAAGAAAATCCAAGGAGTTATTAGAATTAGATATTAATGCATAAAAGCATTAATATCAAAAGTCTTCATCTTCTTTTTAATTGCATGATTACCTCACCACCAGAATGGAAAAAATTACTTGAAACATTTAATAGATATATTTCAACATATCTTTAAATTTAGTATATATTCATAAATTGAAGAGAAAATAATTCATTATTTTTAAATACTAAATCATATTTTCACATCTAAATTTCCTATCTTCCCTACAAAAATAGAAGTCATTGAATGTTTTAAAAGTACCAAATACCTTTGGTTCCGTCTAAGACTCCTTAAAGTGTACTACAGAATTTAAGTAACAGTAAGAATAAATTTGAAAGATCATGAGAAAAATTAATAGTAAAAAATACAGTCCTCATACTAGAATATTCCCTTTCTCATAGTTAAAATCCTAAATGACTTGAGCATTCTCATTGATCATCCTTGCAGTGTGCTGAGTCACAGCTCCTCAGCAGCTGAAAACACATTTTTCATACACATTTCATTTTACTCATCCACATATGGCATCATTATCACTTGACACTCAATCACCAAGATGTGAAACTCTAAATTTAACTTGTCTGACAACACCTTCCTGTTCTTCCCCATTATAGTTCTGATCGTGAGCTCAGAATCCAAATTATTCTCTTCCCTTTTCAATCTTTCCACCTCAAATCTATTCTACATGAATTCTGGGGTCTTCAACCTGAGAAAATTCATGTAATTAACAGTGATAATTATCTCCTATAACAGCCTTCTGCAGTTTACTACTTTCTTTACTAGCAGTTCTCAAGTCTGGCTGAAACCCTTGACAAACCTTTAAAAAAAATGCACAGTCACCACCGGCCTACAGGTGGGGATTTTCATTCTGAAAAAAGAAGGAAATCCTGCCATTTGTGACAACATTTTATTAAGTGAAGACATTATACCAAAGTGAAATAAGTCAAACACAGAAAGATAAACACTGCATAACCTCCTTTTATCTTTCTTTTCTAGATAAATGATTCCGTTCATTTTTTTCTATAGTATGAATTCACCCTTCTATAATTACTGTTCTTTTTCTTTTTTAGAATATACTTCCAGATTTGCTTATTTATTTTTTGGATTCTAAGATCAATATTCAGCAATAATGAACAATCAATTACATATTGAACTGGGGATATTAATTGTAACCACAATGCTTTGGGGAGCCAGAAATGAGAGGGGCTCACTTCAAGCACTCTGTATGCATTATGCAGTCCAATGATCACTGGAACTCTGTTGAGTTTTATATTATTGACCCCATTTAAGAGAAAACAAAACAAAGACTGAGATTCATTACTCAGCTGTCTCATGAATCAGACTCATTGATCCAAATTCTATGCATACCTAGTAAAAGAAAGGCCTCTCCCACCTGTAAATCCTGTACTTTTTGAAATACAATTAACTGATCCTCATTCACAGATAGAAATGAGGTTTCAGTCAGGTGGAAATAAGATGTGAATGAGGCCCCGTAAGATGGGATTGCAGAGGTGAAAGGCTGAATGAGAACATTCTGAAAAAGGAAGAGGAAAAGGAGAGAGAGAATAACAGTGAAGAGAAATCGGGGAAGAAAGAGGAAGAGGAAGAGGGAGACAACAGAGTGGGGGTAATTCAGGCATAGAAGAGAAAAGAATCTGATTGTTTTAAGTGGGTGGAGAGTAAATAAGAGAGATGCTTACCTGGAAACTAAAGGTTCAAATGTCAGACCAACAGTTCAACAATTTTGCGGATGATTCATATGACATATAATATTCCTATATGAAGCACATTTCTTTTTAAATTCTTGTCATTCTATCTGGAACTCCAACCCCTCTTAGAACAACAAGCAGGAGTGAACACAAAACAAGTAGGTTTATTGTGCCGATGTCATGGAAAAGTAGACCTCAATGTCACTGTTAAAAAACAGTGTGCTTGGGGAGGCAGGAAGGTTGCATAAGCAGGGCAGATGCAGAACACGCAGTTCTGGAATCCAGGCAAAAAAGGCTATGTTGAACAGACAAGCCACAGAAAGACAGTGGAGCTTCTCAAATAGAACAGTGTCATGATGCAAGTAAGAGTTTCTTAAAAGATTAATTTCCTTCATAAAGATTCATATTTTGGACTTTATATTGGATAATTAGAAGAGATAGAGAGATGACAAGCTGTGAGGCCAGTTGGAAACTTTTGCAGTAACCTCAAAAATCAGGTCATTAAGGCCTACTCTAAGGCAGAAGGGTGGGGCCTGAGATGTTCTGACATAATGAGATGTTCTAACGGGAGAAAACATAAAAGCAAAACCAGAGTTTAGGAGCAGAGTGATTATTAGCATTAGGAAACAAAGAAAGTTAAGATAGTCTTTAGTCTTCCGATTCCAACCTGAGTTACTGAATCAACTGTGTTTCTGGCAGCCTTTTCTAATTTTCAGTTATACCCAGAGGCTGTCAACAATCCATGAAAAAGTCACACGCAATAGTCACTTTCAGAAAACTAAGTCATATTTTTATTAGCTCTTTTCCATTTTAAAATAAACCTTATGTGTCACTTGTCCTTTATCAGGGATAAACACTGTGCATTCATTAGTATCAGAAGGAAGCCTTTGCTATACAGTTAACCAATTAAGGACAGGAAAAGAGCTTAAAAGCAATCAAGGCTTTGAATAAAGCTCAGTGTAAATTGACCTTGTTCTTTTCTTCAGGCAAAAACATCTCTGTGACTTCCAGACTGTGACCTGTTTGCCAAGTATACGGGATCAAACATCCTCAGTGACTACACATCAACGCCTAAGCAGAATGAAGATCATCAGGGGCTGGTTGAGTAAGTGCCCTAGGTGATTTGTGCAGCGTGACAAATGACTCAGTTTACTTACCTTGCTTATTGACAAGCCGTGACTTCTTGCAGTAGTAAGTAAGCTCCTGTTCACAGTGCTCCGCACGGTTAATAGTGGCCTGGAGTTGCTCCATGCTGGCCACATACTCGAAAAACCCAGCATGTGGGTTCTCTGGGTTAGTATTTCTGACTCTCGTTAAGTCAGAGCCATTGTGCTGTATGATGGTCCATGCAGTTTCTTGTATGCAGAAATGGGGGAAGAAAGAGAGGAGACCATCACTAGTCTGCAAAAGTTAAAATAAATAAAGAAAATCAAAATCACCTTTTATCTGAGTTAAATTTTTCTAGTCATCAAAACTCTGAGAGGTAGAATCAACACAAATGGATTCTCAAAATTTTTAAGTTATAGAAAAGTGATTTTTTTCCCCAAGATGTATTCAACCGCCATGCATTTACAGTGGTTTTACTTTATTTTTTTATAATTTAGCCAGATAATATTTAAGATAAAAAATATTATGAAATCTGATTATTAATTTTTATGAGATATTTGACTTCATTAAATCAGTTATTCTATTGTTTTAAAGTGTATCATTATTTTATTTTCCTTTAAGAAAGAAAAAATGTTGCCTATTATAATCGTAAAACACTACTGATTACTGAAACACCCAGTATTCAGTGACGTTGTAATATGAAGTGCATATTAGAATTTGTGAAATAGTTTATATTACATGAGGTAAGCAATGACTTTAAAAATTATTCATGGTACAAGCAAAAAGTCAAAATTGGATAGCCTGTATATCTCTTTAGTGAATATTTAATTATAATTATGCATCTATTTTTTAAAAATCAAATTTGAAATATTCATTATGTGATCTGCATAGTTAGCCAATACAATAGAAAGTTACTCTTTTGATTTGAACACATCTGTCAGCATCAGCAACTCAACTAACACAAAAATAAAATATCTTCACATATCTATTAGAGCTATCATTATTGGTACCTGAATGTCTGTAAACATTTCCATCATACTGATTCCCCAAATTACTTAGAGATAAAATGAAAATGTTTTTATCCCATAATGTTTGTAACGGAAGTTAAGCATATTGTATCTATCCTTTAACTAGTCCATCGATAGACTTTATACCATATTTACTGTGATATATTCAGGCACAAGAACAGATTCATCAAAAGATCTCTGATTTAATAAGAAAAATAGATTGAAAGTTGTCAAAACACTACTATATATGTGCTGCTAGGTCACATAACTCTTCTGTATTACAGAAGAATATTCCAACTTGGAAGAAAACAGTAATAGTTGGTAGATTTTTTTTCCCCTTCATTTTAGCTAAGACATGCATGTGGATCTATAATCAAAACAAAATAAGGAGCTATTCTTTGAAAAATTTCATTCCCATCCCTCTCCCAGGCATCGGAGTGTGGAATGGAGAGGCAGGCTAAATGAGGCAGGACAAGCTTTGCAGTCTTATTGCCTTCCATGTGTGGATCATTATTTTTCTGTGAAACAATAACGTTATTTTTACTTCCCTCTTGCATTTCAGCTCTTCCTTTATCAGTAGAATGCTTTTCTCAAAGAGAACTTAATCTATAAGCTCATGACACCAATTCGGGTGACCAGCAGCTTAGGTTTGAGGCCATCAGGAGACCTGAGTGGTAGATCTGGCATGGATCTTGTTCCCCCAGGAAAGGCAGGTAAAATCTAAGCCTCCATTTCCAAATCTGGACAACGAATTGGCAGAACCAGACAATATAGTTGGTCTGAAATTCTATAATTTTAGCCAACTCAACTTCGGCTATTGGAAGTTTAAGGTTATTATTAACCAGGCAAATCTATCAACCTAGTCTCTGTAGGGTTCTACTTTTATTGTTGAGCAAAACTATTCACCTTTTCTTGTGGTAAATCAATGGCACACATGAAGAACTGCCTGGAGAGCTCAACAATAAACCAGCTTGAAGCCTTTGTCTCTCTGGCTTCTGAATCATGCTGAGAGAGACTTCCCTATAGTTTATCATCCACTAGGTCATGATTAGCACATGATTCTAAAGGTTTGTAAAGGTGTTGTAAGAGATTCAAGACCATAGTGCATGGCAACCATTAAAGAGGGCAACTTATATATTTCCTTTGAAATTATTAAATATTTCAATATTATGATAGTTTCTATAAGTGATTTTATTTTTCTAATAAAAAGTGCTGTAAGGTATAAAGTTAAACAGATGCCACACTTGTCAGACCATCTAGATTTCTGGGGCAAAGCAGACACAATGAAATCATCTCAATAGATTTTAAGTAATAAAAATTCGTGCCTCAGCGGCCAGGTTCCAAATCTCATGTGCTTAATTAATTGTGAATCTCCAAAAATGCTCAAGTTAGAGCCTGTTTACTATACTTTAAGACATGATTGTGTTAGCTGGGGCCTCTACAGATTCCTATTTAGAAATAAGAACATGAAAGACAGACTTCATCACAATTTGCAATCAATATTTTGTGATTGATTTTGTTGTTCTTTCCTACTAGTCTGTAAGTTCTATGAGAACAGTGACAGTTTCTGATCTGCCAACCATAGTATCTCCAGCACATAGCACAGGGTCTTGATACAGAATGAAGAAGACATTTAATGAAGAGATGAGGGAATGAAAAAAACCAAATAAGTGGGTAGAAACAATACATTAACTAGATTACAGCACAACCTTCCAGGTTATCTGGTTCGAATTCTATGGTGGTTTTGAAACTTTCATTGCCTTTGAGCTGTTTTATAACTGTAAATTGTGGATAACTAATAGGATTGAAAAAAACATTAAGTCTGAAACTGTGAAGGGCCTGAGATGTTACCCTACTTGAAAGTTAAATTATCTTGCCACATATATCTATCTATACTAACAGACATGGAAGACCTCTGAATAGGGACCATTCACTCACAGAGAATATCAGCAGCATCAATCCCTCACACCTCAATGTTCCATGCGCTGATGCAATGAATGCTAGATGCACTTGTGCATGCTGGAGACGCACAAGAGAGGAACCTTAAACGTATGACTCTTGGACTTACAGAGAGTGGTTGGCACATCCTTTCTTCCCTTCTTCCACAAAGTGAAAGAGATAATTTGGTTCTGAAATGTCACAGATTTTCTTTAAAAGTAAGAAAATACAAGTCCTTGGGTTTTTATTACTCTCAGACCATAGGCAAATGCATTTGGGAAAGACAAGTTTTCAAATCTCTTCAGAGCAATTCACTGTCTCTAACATCCCAGACATATTTAATCATCCTTGAACCTAGGTTGCCAGGTTTATTTTTCTTTGCTTAGAAATAAAGGCATTGTTTTCTTACAACAAATAAATATTGTCTATAGACAAGCAACTTCTACCTGGCAGAGGTTCCCTCACTGTGGAAAAACCCAGAGTTGCCTCCATATGCATATTTATTTCAATGTTCCTGGTGTGTAGATGCATCTGTTCTTTGGATTATCCTTGGAACTGATTGTAACATTTTACCAGTTGCTTCATTAATAATGTATTAAACAAAATATTTAGAACATATTTTGTAGTTTTTGCTTTAATATATGTATGAGTCATGATTTTACTTTGTTGAGAATTATCTTTTACTAAATGTAAAGAAGTTGTAGGGTAAGGAGACCAGGAAATAGTAAAAACAACATAGCTGAAATAGGCAGAAAAATCTATGAAGTTTGAAAACATTGATTGGTAGTTTGAGTCTACCCTGTCTTTCCTGGAAAAGATTTCTAATAATATAAATTGTAAATAAAGCAACTGAGTAATTAAGAATGTGATTTACCTTAGGCTGACTGCTATTTTTTAGTGTGATAACAGTGTAAAGAAAAAAAATGCTGTTTAAGCAACACAGTTGCAAAGCTTGTGTTGCTTCATGCTTAATAGCTGAAGGTGATAGATGTGATCAAGACAGTAAGAGCAGATAGGAAGTGCTGTGTTAAGGAAAGCAGAGGAGACACAAAGGGAGACAGCTAGCATTCTGGAGCAAAACAATGTAAACAAAGCTGCATTTGGATAATAACAGTTAGTTATTAACCCTTATAGCTTTTAAGAAGGGCTTTATTATTAAAATATCTAAAGTAAAAACGGTCATGCTATTTTAAGTCTTACACTCTCCAACCTTCTCCTGGAATGGTCTCAGGAACCCTCATCTAAGAGTCACTTGGTGTACTTGTTAATAATGTAGTGTTCCAGGCCTTAGTCTCTAAACTTACTGAGACAGGGAAACCAAATCCAGAAGTCATGGTAATGGGACAGTGAGAAGAGGTGAGTTCAAACAATAGAATGTTCATTTTTCAGAAAAGTTTGAAAATCGTCACTCTGGCACTCACTGATTTCTCCCCTCTAAAATAATAGTCCTTACAGTGCAATGTTTGATCATGAGAAACTCCTTGAACAATAAAACTATTTCATTATAGAAAAAGCAGTGAATTTGGTTTAGAAGAAAACACCCCTATATATCTCAATAAGGACAACCACTGGGATTCATCTTATCCTAATTATTTTTAAATGTTTAGAATATTCTGTTTATGAGGAAATTTCAGTTTGTTAATGTAGCCTAGGAAATTATCCATTTTGTGCCTGTTTCTTTTAGCTTGAAATGCTTAGAGGTAATTCAGAGACTTTTGACAGTATCTTTTAGCTTATAATGCTTAGAAGTATATAAATACGTGTGGAATAATTTGTTTAACACTAATTCTAGACTAATAACTGGATTTTGAAATAAGATCCATGTTTGCAAGTTACTGAATCAGCTTTTTGTCTATTTATTAATTTATTTTTACTATCATTGTACCTGATTTGTATAATGAGAAGATATGTTGTTGTCTACAAGCAATGGGACGTGGATAGAAGATAACCCTTCCTTGTGGAAAAACTTTCAAACTATAAGAAAAGAGACCAGTTTAGTGCTTGATCTACCCCTACTGGTATTTTTCAGTCTGCCAAATGTAACCTTCCTGAGTTTTCCTTGGTTTCCTCATTTGCGAAACCAGATCAATAAGGAGAGTTTCGAGCTGTACCTGCTACACTTAACCTCCCTGAGTCTCAGCTTCCTCATTTGCAAAACCAGATCAATAAGGAGAGTTTCAAGCTGTAAAATATATATCTCACTGGGGCTGTTATACTCTGGGGTTGTCACTTTTGTTTGAATGTTTTCCAATATCCCAGAGCTTCTGAAGATATTTGGCTGTCTCTAGATATCTGTGTTTTTG